TCACTTCCATCATTGAAGGAGCACCTCTTTGTTCTCGCTGGGAAAAAACACTTTGGCTAGATATGGTATTCGCCTTTCCCACTCCTAATGTTCTTGCTAAAACTACCAGCTGTGAGCTTACACCATGCCTTATTCACCTTTATAGTATTCCATATGACGTTACTTCTGACAAAGAAACTCATTTTATAGCAATGAAGTGGCATGTTGGGCTCATGCTCATGGAATTTACTGGTATCTTCATGTTCCCTTCATCCCGAAACAGCTGGTCTAATAAAATTATGGAATGGTCTTTGGAAGACTCAGTTATGGCACCAGCTGGTGAAAGCACTTTATGGGGCTGCAATAATGTTTTCCTAGATGTAAGATATGCTTTGACTCAGCTATAAATATGTAGCGATGTTTCTCCTATGCTCAGGATTCATGAGTCTGGAAATCGCAGGGTAGATATGAGAATGACTCCTTTCACATTAATCCTAAGGATCCACTGGTAATATTTTTGTTCCCAATCTGTATAAATTTTGACCTTTCAGATTCAGAGATCTTCCCAAAGAAGAAATTCATGAGAGAATACAACATTGTACTGGAATCTCCGACTACCATTGGCTATTTGGGGCACCACAGACACTGAAACAGGAAAGAGGCAGGGGTAGAATTCCCAGTATTCAGAAGATCCTCTAGAACATCTTTTAGTCTTTCAGTATTTTGTGGTAAAAGATCATTAAAAGCCACAACAACCTAATAGAGGCAGGACTATAATGATATAAATACATCAGGAACCAGGATTTGGGTCACTCTACCCAGTAAGGAATCACAATTAACTGAGGCACTTTCAGGAAGCAGAGAAAATATGAATTGCATAGAAGAAGGAAGTTATAAATACCATCTGTGATCTTATGACTGAAAATGAGGGCTCTGGCAGGCAAAAATATTTGTCTATTTATTGTTTCAAAGTAAGTGTATTTGTGTGTTGTATGTTTTCCGTTTTCCATTTCCCCAATTCCTTACTCTAACAAAATATGTATTAATAGTGGTTACCTATATCTCAGGATTAAAGCTACAGAATATTCAAATGAGTGTTTGACTGAGTAAAAGAAAAATTAGCATAACCCACAGATAGGGAAGTCAGTCTGTGTGTTCTCTTTTGGGGAGTGGCTAGTGTGTTTTTATTGTACGGGATAGTTGTATCAACTTCAGATAAAAGAACGACTTTGGTTTTGCCCTTATTTGGAAGTAAATATGGTCAACATAGGTGACTATGAAAGCCGTGTTGACAAGGAATATACTGTACGAGACTATACTGTCAGTTTGGTTGCTTGCAAATTACATTTCTCAAAATTCCCTTTCCTGTATTGTTCGAAGTGAGATTGGCCCAAAAAAGGAACTATGGTGAGATTTTTAAGGTAGAAGTGAAACACAAGTCATTAGGCCTGGATACCCAGGGATTTCCAGGCTGTCCTCACGTTTCCTTACTCCACATCCAGCTTGTCTTCCTGCCTGCTGACCTCACTGACCCACAGCAGCACAGGCTCACCATCAGGTGCTCACTCACAGACCGACGGAGCTAGAACCTACACAGACGCATGGTTTCCCACAGCACCCTTCAGAGCCCCTGGCTGGGAACCATTTCAGTGACTGGACATGCTGGACTTCACGGAGTTTTCAGTTCCTGCTTGTCCACCCACACCAGTGCTTCAAGCAGAGTGAATCTTTCTCTAATCTGCCAGACTTTCATTTTCAAGCTCCTCCTCTGTTTATGTTAGTTTAAATTTCTATAACTCCTTTATTTCCACATATTACAAGAGCTCTGTTTTCCTGATAACCCTGACTAATAAATGTAGCATAAACACAAACTATGATTTTTGCTGTTTATTTTCTTCAGATAGCCCTGAAAGTAATCCAAATAACATATATATTAAAACATTACAAAAGTGTGGCTCGCCTATGCGATGAACAACCAAGCAGGAAGTCTGGAACAAAGCCTGTATGCTGCTCTGGTGATGGCTGCCCTTTGGGCTCCATATCCACTAAGTGGATTCAATGCAATTACAGTACTCTTTGTTGAGAGACAGCCACCAGGGGGCAAAGATTATATCTTAATACAAAGTGATAACAGTGAGAGTTACTTATTTAGCAGCCGGTATAGAAGTATTACTGTACTCTGCCATTTATTTAAGCTTTTATCTCCATGAATCTTGCAAGTTAAATATTATTACCCTTGTTTAACTGAGAATAAATGTCCAGAGAGTAGAAGTCTTAAACCTGTCCAAATCTTATCGATAAGTCCGTTCTAGGTTTCCTCAACTCCAAAACAAATGCTTCTTCTAGGAAGACATATTGGTATTTACCTTATAGAAAATGTACTAACGTTTGTCTTTGGTGCTCTTCCATGGCCTCTTTAGGCCCCACTCATGCCTATATACCTTACACTACCTCTGTCAGTTTTAATCCCTTGTAAGACATGTACTGTGTTCTATGTCTTTTCTGCCTACTCTCAGGAGGCTATCACATAGACAAAATTCTGAGGAGCAAAACTGCACTGTATTTTATTGACAAATAATGGTAGAGTGTTTTCATTTTCATAGCCTTAGAATTGAAATTTCATTACCTATTTATTTTAAAAATGCTTTCCATATTTTTGACGAGCTACAAAATGATTCAGTCCCAACATTAAACCAGTAATGAAAATTCCCATCAATCAGGTCTCTGATTGGTATTTTCTACATGCATTTTTCAATGAGTACAAGATGCATTATCATACAAGGCAGACATTACACTCTTGGACAGCTGTTAACTGTGAAAAAGTCATTCCTTATGTTCCTCTGACTACTCTATGAAATGTTTGCCTTCCAAGCCCTCTAAATGATACAGGATAAACCCGATTCATTTTTGCAATATGCTAGCTCTTAAAGCATTTACCCCCTCTTTCTTCTCACCACTAATTAGTGGCTTAGGAGTTCAGGCTTCAAGCAGCATCCATGGACATGAATATCAAGATTACAAAGAACTCATTGATGTACCAACATCATCAAATAATACCGACATTGGTTGATTGGTTGTTTTTGTACACATGACAATATAGACTGTGTACAACTTGAGGCAAAGTCTTAATCACTTCTTTATATCTTGTGTCTAACACAGTTCATGGCATAAAATACGGTGCTTATTAAATATGCATTGAATGAATAAATTCTTAAGCTAATATTTCCTATCTTTCATTTATTTCAGACAGTGAAAACCTAGTATTTGAGCACCTATGATATATCAGACACTGTATAAAGCTGTGAATGGACAAAACAGACGTGAATCCTTCCTCAGACCTTGGAGTCTGAAGTTGCTGAAGTGAGTATAATAATTCTACTCCAGATGACTCATATTACTAACTTTAGGGAGAAAAAACTCTACTGCTGAGCATCAGCATCCTCACATACTATTAAATTGTTAGACAAATAACCTATTTTACATCCTTATATTATTATAAAGGGTATGGAATGTGTAAGCATTATATAAATTAAGTTTTATGATTATAAAATTACATTATAAATATGAATACTGCCCAAAATGGATGTTCTTCCAAGTTCAAAAGCAATTCAGTTTCTCAGATACAAGCACTATCATAAGACCACATAAACAATGCAGTAACTATAGAATTATTGTTTTAAACCATATCTCTACTGGATAATGTAACTTCCCTTAGAGCAAAATATTTTACATTCAGTGTCCTCTATAGGATTTAGCACTTTTCAGAAAAATAGTATTCAGTAAGTAGATTAATGCAATAGAAACAAATGAAGAATCACAAAGGAATCTAACCTGAATACCATTTAGGAGATTGAAGAACCCAGTGAAATTGTATGCAAAACTGTGTGTCTGTAGGCCATTTTGTAGAGTTTTTCAGTTTTATCCGGGTCTCAAAGAGATCTATTATATGTAAGAGTTTCTTACTCAGTATATATTAATTGAATTTCAACTACTTGCTAGACATTGTACTTTAAGCTTAGAATCTAAATTTTTTTCTAATAAATGAATATTGAGAACATCAACATTTTCAGATCTGCTTTCTTAAATTCACACCATTAAAATTAGTACATAACCTGTTAATCACATTTACATCCTAAATCAGCATCAGATTTTCTGAAGTAATTTAATATCACATTTTCCGGCAAAATATTCTTTAGAAATACATTCTTACTGGCCTCATGAAAAAAACCTCCATAATAATATAACCTATAGGGCTTTAATATATAGGTACATAGACATATATATGCATATACACACATACACACACACACACACACACATACATATAATTTAAAAATCTTTAATGAGTCCTGCTGCTCAATTGTTTAAACAATCTCTAATTCATCAACTATCTTTTACCACCACTGGGTTTCCATTTATTTTTAATAACAATGAAGCTACTGTCCTTCAAAAAAATGATGACATACAAAAAAAAAAAAATGTTCTAGAAATTGTTTTGTAAGCAGTTTCCTCAGGGACTTTCCACTGACTGAAATCGTTTTCAAATGTGCCAGATGGAGGACAAAAAGTATGTTTAAAATTGCAAGAATACCTCTGAAACTTCGTGGCAGTTCTTCCCCTTTGGAAATGTCTCTCCTCAGTGCATTAAGCATCAACTATCTCCAGTTAAGAAATATTTATTTGAGCCGCTATTTTAGTTTTCTGAATGAAATTATTCTTACCTTTCAGAATGGCTGACATATATTCTTGTCCCAAACTTATAAGAAAAGGGTATCTCCCCAGATACAAGCATAAGCACACTTACAGTTTGAAACTCTCATCCACAGATGAGCACTTTACAGTATATTCTTGGAAACAAATGTTTCTAATTCATGTACTCTACAGAGCTCAGTTGCAATTGGTGATAGTGGCCAGGAGATGGCGCAGTCTCGTTTCCTAAGATTTACTTTGTAGTCTATAATCCAGTGCTAACTTTAAATAACGGCACTTATTTTCACATATGGAAGCTAAGATTGAAAAATACAACACTCAGAAAATATAAATTCAAATCGCTCCAATGGTTTATTTGTTACGAATCACCTATCTGCAAATAAAATATTTTAAAAATACTTTGAATAACTTTTTTCTTTCCTATGAACAAGGGACAGAATAAAAGAATAAAACGTTCTGAAGTAGTAATCACTTAGAATTGCCTTAATTGTTCAATTCTTCCTTTTGGTTTATATTATGATGGATTGCTTTATACTTACAAATGTATTTTATCACTAAAAATTCCACTTTTCAATAAAATAAAAAGTATAGTTTTTAAAATAAAACATTTTTGCAAATGATAATTTAGGGAGAAAATTCATTAAATATTTCCTGAAATAGCTTTATTCAAGGCACATATAGTGTTCAAATTTACTTCTTTCACTTAATAAATTCTAATGAAGGATCTTCAGATCTAATGCCTATTATATTGCTTGTGAAAAAAATAGCATTTTAAAAACCTCATAATCTAGTCACATACTTACTGAAGTATATTAATGGATATGTGTGCATGCGTGTGCACGTGCATGTATTGCACACTTCTAGAAACACTCCAGAAAGGAGGAATGGACATATACATTACAGACTGTCCTGATTTGGTCTGAAATACAGTCTACCACAAGTTATTGAGTCTTTACTGGAAAGGTAGGAAGAATCTCTAATCATCCCTGAAAAGGCATAATCCAAAGCTGGCCGAAAAGGCAGGGTGGGTACCAACCCAGGTGTTAGGTAGGGTGACATAAAACCAGATAATCCTCTTCCTGCAGAAGAGTATGCCAGCCTTAATGGACTGATACCTACTCTAGGATTTAAGCTGTAGAGATTTGAGTCACCTCTGTAAGATGCAGAAGTAGTTTGAAGAGGAGAGAAAGCTGATTTATTACCTAGAGTTCCAAAACCAATTCCTGCAAGATTAAAACTTGAAGCTCTCTGAAAGGTTGTGTTTTCCAGTTCTCCTGAGCTTGCTAGGTTCCTGTTTTCTGGCTTGTGTTCTTTGCCATTTAAAACCTGTTCAATGGCTTGGACCACATCCCCTTTGCAGAACTGCAGAATGCCTTCCAGACGGCTGCGCCTGTAATTTGGGAAAATCTTGGTAAGGATATCAAGAGGATCTCTTGGTCTTGAGGACACTGTAGGAAGGCTGGCCCTGGTGGCAGTCAAGTCTTTGACCCATTCACTTTCATTTCCTGATTCCAGATCAGAGGATGATAAGGACCTGGGACTCTCTTCACCTTCTGATTGCTCTCCAGGATGAGAAGATAGGATACTATCATGCTTGTTGGAGTATTCTGAAATAGATGACCTGATGCTTTGTTTCCCAATGACACCATTAGACCTAGGAGATGATCCTAGGGAAAGTTGATGGGATTTGGAGATTGGTTCTTCTTGTCCATTCTGGCATGAGTCACATTTACTCTCTTTTTGTTCTGGAGAAGAGGGGGGAAAAAAAAAACAATCAAATATAGGGAAAACTTTCCAGAACATAGTACTACTCACTCAAAAATAATGCTGGATAATATAATTCATTCATTTATAATAATTAGTAGTATTTATATACTTTAAGACATTTTAGTGAGTAACTCAAATTTAAAAGATTATTCAGAAATGCAGGTGCTAGAATAGTAAAAAATACACTATTCTATCATTTTAGAATCATAAAGATTTGCAATATTAAAATGCAGTTATATTTAGGAAGCCAAAGATGAGAGTGTATTGTTACCCCAAAGTGTTCTTACAACACCAATATGGCAGACTGACCTTCCTATCTTGGTTGTGTGGGATCTTCCTAAATGTCACCTGTTTTGTTGTTATCTAAGTGAAATTTTTTCAAAATGACACTATGAAAAAATAACTAAATAAAATGACTAGGGAATAAAGGAATAATCTAAGTTTGAAAATGATTATTCTCTTCAATCACTAATGCTAAATTTCAGCAATTTTTTAATCTTATATTTCAGGTTATAATTAATTTACTTGAATAATGTCAAAAAAAACAAAATTGTTCATTTCATTTCAAATTTAAACTAATAAGTACTACTGCTATATCAATCCCAAATATACTAGAGTGTGCATATTTCCTTTTATGAGAGATGATAGAGATGGTATTTTTCATAATCCTCTATGAAACATGTACTTTCTTTTTCAGTCCTTAAGAAATATCAATAACAGACTTTAAAATCAAAGTCTATTTTAAAGTCTATTGCAATCCATATTAGTGTTCAAATTGTCTTTTAAAAACAACATATTAGGCATTTGCTTTTCAATCACAACCCTCCTCCAATGTTATGGGCAATTTTCTAAAAATACTTTTACACAAAGTTCTGGTTTTTCTATCTCAACATGTTGAGCACGTTAATCAAACAAGAATATTTTAATACCCTTTGCCAGGCTAACACCAGATAGATAACAATAGCCATATTCACTATGTAACTTTTGCTTTGGTTTACATTTTTCTATAGCCCTAGAGATATACATGTTAAGAGTAAACTGTAAAGTGGAATGTGTAGATAATTCTGTCCAACTTTCTTTTTTCTACAAAGTTTATGAATGTAAAACACATATTGCCTAAAGCAGTGATTTGTAAATATGATTTGCAATAATACTCTCATGTTTTCTCCAGTTTTCTTAAGAAGCAGTCAGTTCTAAATTCTAAAGAAATATCTACAGGTTATTTTAAAATTAAAATGTGTATGATTTAGCATTTTGAAGTTCAAAATGCTCTTCCTATATGCTATTCCCCTAAGCATAGGATGAAAGAATGTCGCTACCGCAAAATTGCCAACACTCTAGTATTTTCGACTTTAAATAATACAATACTACTTTTCTAATGAAATCTGCCAAGTGGAAACAGATTAGCACTGGTCCTCCACTCCACTTTATTTATAAATACGATTCAGTGAGGATGCCCCCAAACATGTCGAATATCAACATTTTCATATCCATAGCAATTTACGCATGAAATCATAAAATAATGTCTTATTTTACTCATAGTACAATATATGTAATGAAACACCAATCTGCATAAGATGGTTTAGAAAACATGGTGTCTTTAAAATATTATGATACCATTTAAATCATCTCTCTGTCATCTCAAATCCCACAGCTTGCTTTACTTCTATTGCATTTATCATTGTATATTAAGCATTGTACTGTAGTTTTTGGATACATAGAGTCTGCCTTCTTTTGAATATAAGGTTCTTTTGTGTAGGAAAAGCTCATTCACTTCTAAATCACTGTTAGTCTTTGTCTAATGAATGAGTAAATTAAATAGAGTATTTTACCACAGTTCATGGCTATTGTGTAAGAGGAGGCAGTCAATTTAGAAAGCTATTGAAGTAGCCTTTCAAACATTAGTGTGCTTTTTATGGGGAAGGGGGCATCATCTGAGGCAAATAACAAAATAAAATCATTAGCTCTATAAAACAGAACACTTTGATACCAACTAGAAATCACATATATCAATGTCTCACAGGGAGCTGTCAGCCATTTCACATTGGTGTAATTTCAGGAATTCTAACTTTTACCTCTTTTTCATAGCTGTTTCACTTAATAACTTTGCTCTTTAGCACCCTTGATCTTTCATGAGAATTGTATAAAATCTGTTTTGCTTGCTTAAATTAGAATATATGCACAAAGGGGATATGTGCCAACACAAAATTCATTCCGAATTGAATGCTTCATTTCAATTCACAGACCAGTATTTTTCAAAAGCACATTCCCTCATTTGTTGAGATCTGCAATTTTCACAATTAAAGGAAGGCTGCTAATTAATAGTTTACTGTATAGCTATCATATGATTTCATATAATACAACTTCATAAGTTTTGTGTAAGTTTTGGACTTACACACACACAAAAAAATCACAATGGCATTTCCACTGCTTAGTAGGCCCTGTGGAGGGCTATGAAGTTCACAAAAACGTATCTCCTAACACTGGAAATGAAGGCAACTGACTTGCAGTCAATAAATAAGAGAGAAAAAAAAGAAAACTCCTTAGACAAAAACCCTCTAATATTAAACTTTGAAATTCTTATGGTTTTACAAAAGACCATTTACAAAAACAATTTAGAGGGAAGGAAGACAGGCAACGGTGTGACAGATTTCAGTTATCTTCCCCACATCAAGCTTGCAACAAATGTTTGCCCCAACATGTAGTAGAGAACTGCATCCCCAGCTATCAGAGTTCCCCACGCAAAATCAGCTCTGGTTTCACAGCTGAACACGGTCCAGAGCAGGGAGGATCACCTGAGCCCGGGGAGGTTGAGGCTGCCGTTAGTCGTGATCGCGCCACTGCACTCCAGCCTGGGCAGCAGAGTGAGACCCTGTCTCGAAAGAGTACAGAGGAGACTCAACCACAGCACCTCTCACTAAGCTCTCGCTCAACGCCTGCTTGAAGTTCTACTCACACAGTGAAAGTCAAATCAACTTTCGCGCAAACAGATCTACCCCTAGGGTGAATTGCTCGTTTGTTATCACCCACGCTTCACTTTTTCACGATCTTATCTCCGAAGGGAACGAAAAGTAAACGCCTCCAAAGTGAAGGCGATGGGCCTCTCACACTCTCAATGTCCATATCGCAAAGCAGTTCCCCAGAACTTAAAGTGCTTCCTTTAAACAACTATTCCTGCCCGCCTAAGGGCACGGCTGCTTGTTTCAAAGTTTCTTTCCAGAACAACCATTTCCTTGAGCAACGAGTCCATGAAGGACCAAACTCACCTTGTTTTTCCTCAGGATAATCTTGCTGGAAGACCTCGAAAGCGGGGGTCGCGGAACCGCTGGCCTGTCTCAAGGCACCGAGTCCCAGCGCAGCCGCCGCCGCCGCCGCAGGGCCGCCGGTGGCCTGGGGATCCTCGGCTCTGCCGCCGCCCCCGGGTGCCCGACCCCCGGGGGGCCCGGACAGCCCCGAGCACAGGAGCCTCTGCAGCCCCCGGGCTTCGCTCTCCTCCTGCGCCTGCTGCCTGCGCAGCGCCACCTGGGCGGCCATGACGCGCTGGCGCTCGGCGATCAGGGTGCACTTGGCACACGCGCAGTCGCGCCAGCGGCAGAAGCGCTTGTGGCCCTTGAGCGCCGACACCACGCCGTGGTTGCGACAGCGGGCGCACTTGGGCGTCCGCGGGTAGCCGCAGCCCCCCGCGCCCACCCCCCTCTCCAGTCCCGGAGCGGGCGGGCAGCCCCGGCTTCCCGAGGTGGTGGCGGCGGCAGCGGCGGCCGCAGCTCGCAGAAAGAGGCTGGGCGGCCGCAGGAACGCCGGGGGAACCTGCAGCGCCGACGGGACCGGCAAGGCCGGGGAAGGCGGGGGAGGCGCAGCCACCACCAGCCCCGGGGCCAGGTGGGGTCGGCCGCTCCCGCCGCGGTCTCTGCCGCCACATTGTGACCGCTCCATCTTCTGGCCGGTCGCAACTGGAAAGTGCGCTGAGCGCAGCTAACCCTGCGGGGAGGCTGGGGGAGCCGGGCGGGACGCGCCGGGGTCCTGCTGAGCCCCACCCGCGCACGGATGAAAGTTTGACACTTTCCGCTCGGAGTCGGGACGACCGCGTCCCGGAGCCGGAGGCGCTGAGCGCTGCAGCCGTCCCGTGAGCCTGGCGCAGTCCCGGCCCCTAGGTTAATTAATGCCCCGTGCCTCCAGCCAAGAAGGCGAGGCTGGAGAGGCTACTCCGCCCACCCGGGCTCCGGGCCAAGCGCGGAAGCGGGGGAGGGCCCGGGGCGGAGAGTGGGAACCTTCTGGGAGGAGAGGCGGCGACGAAACCCGCCGCAGGGCTGCCAGTGTCTCCTCCCCGCAAAACGCCGGCTTCTCTTTCTTGCTTCCCCAGGAGTTTTCGACGTCTGCTTTTGTAAACTGGTCTTTACAGCGTCCGCTCTTACTGCCCTTTTAAAATTAAGCAGAGTTTGAATTTCTCCTTTTCCCACTTCCACGCTTCTCCTAAGGAAGTTTGAAACTTTGGATTTTGACTGCTCCTTTCAGGTTCCCAGGTGAAGTCTTCATGACTGCAGCAGCTTTGCCAATGTTAGTGCGAGCACGGCCTGATAGACTACAAATTTGTTACCAGAAAGATGCCTTATTCTAAAAGGGTCTTAGGACAGCATCAAAACAATGGATAAATAATGAAGGGAATTGATTCACATTCAGTTTCTTTTCATGCATTCTATTTATTGACACATGCAAATATGGACTGGGTGTATTATATTTTAAAATGCTTTAAAGTTATAAATCTCTGCAACTATAGGCAGCAATTGTGTTAAAGCTGTTTCAAAAATACTTAGGTCAATTGTAAAGTATTGGGAAAAGTCGTTTAGATCACTATTTAAATATGCTGTCACAAATGCATTCCTCACATATGAATTTAATGCCTTTATAAGAAAAGATCATAAGGTGTTTAAATCAAAAGAGCATCTGATGTAGAAAATTCATGAATGTTTATTATTAATGGAAGGTAGAGTTAGCGCTCTGCCAGCTCTTCAAGATGATATCCAACTGCCTTGGACAGATTATTCACTTTCTAGTACTAAGATAGCAAGTAATAATGATATGTTTACCATTCCACCTGTTCACATTCAGAGCAGACATTGCTGATGTATCTGGCCTTTCTCCTGCAAACCTACTCAGCACCATCACCACCACTACCATCCTCTCATGCAAGCATCCCATTGGAGAGGTTTTCCACCCTTCCTAATAACTGGAGCTACCTAGGGAACTTTTAAGAGTTAAGCACTCCAATCTACATAATGTATCCTGATTCTTTTGGTCTGTGTCTTAAACTCTGAAGGTGATAATTACATACAATGTTCAGAATTAGCACTCAAGGAATTCTTAACCTCTGGGATTTCTATGATACCCAAACTTTCTCACAACTCTTTATCTTTGCTCAAGATACTCCTGCCTAACTGTTGTCCTGTGAACTCACATCCATCCAATGAGAGATGAGTTATTAGTTCTACATGGGTCATTAAAATACAATGAATTACTTAGTAAGAAAGCAGTTACCTTTTCTATTCTTCTTAGGAACTTCTAGTTACATAATGGGAATGTTCAGCTTAATGCAAGTATGTCTTTTAAATTTTTAAAAACCCTTTTGTGTTTTTCTTTGTTGTTTTAATAATAACAAAGAGCAGAAAGTAAAATGTTTACCTAGAATTTAGCAATATTTTTCTGTTTTTATTTGATGTTTAAAGTTACCTTATAATTATGGAAAGTAATATTAGTTTTCATCCAAGGAAGTAAAAATAGTTTTTAAGTAAATGTATTTATGTTAAATATTTGTCAACTTACATGAAGAGTGATGCAGATAATCTGTATATGGCAAAATAAACTGAGGTCTGGAAAACATTGCCTCGGTGGTTTTGCAGTCAAAAAACCGTTGTTCTCAAATTCTAGATCCTCTTATAGTAAGTTACTTTATCTAACTCTGATCCTCAATTTTCTCATTTGTAAAATGAGAATAATCACATATGATTACTTGAGGATTAAATGAGATAACATACCTAAATCATAATGCATATAATGAGATACATATTTTACTGCTCCGAACACCTAGGTTCTCAACATGTTACTTTTTTTAATAAATTTTTTAAATATTAATATTTAGGAATATTTCAAATGCTAAATGAGAATTTTATTATATTTTGGAAGAACTTCCTTGCCTTAAATGAACTCTAAAACCAGACTTTTTATACATTCTAGCAAATATAGGAGAAAGGTATCCAAAATTGTTGGTGAACCAAAATTAGATTGGTATTAAAAATGTAACTATTTTCATAGTAAGTATCCCATCTTGGACTTTGAGTGATTTGCCTACGTGGTAACAGTGCTTTGAAGAGAAAAGATATTGGCCAGGAAATTAAGAGAGATGGGTTAATAAGCACTGTATCTGACAGAAGTTAAGGGCGCTTCTAATGACTGGATTTGTGGTGTTGAAAAGTAACTCTCTCTTTTCAGTCTTGGTTACTCAGCTGCAAAATGAGACAGTTGGGTTAAATAATTGCTAAGATTATTTAAACTTTAATAATTTATGACTTTAATGCAGGCATGTCTAATACAAGATCATTGTGCTTCTAATATATTAGCAATGGAAAATCTGAAATTAAATGAAAAAAAAAATTTGTTTTACCCTAACACTGAAGTAGCTCTATATTACTATAAGATAAAATATATTTCAGAGCAAATACTATTACTAGGAATAATATTTACTTGATGAAAATAATACATCAATTAATTAGGATACTATAATTCTAAATATGTATGCGCCTACTAACAGTGCCTCAAAATTCAAGAAGCAAAAACAACTGTAAAAAGAAATAAATATATCTGCAATTATAGTCAGATTTAAACATCTTCTTTCAATAATTGATAGTATAAGCAGTAAACCAGTAAAGATATAGACAATTTGAACTACACTGCCAACAGATAGACCCAATAAAATATATACAGCATTCAACTCAACAACTGCAAAATGCTTGTCTTTTTGAAGTGCATATGAAACATTTACCAATCAATCATATTCTGGACCATAAAAGCAAGGCTGAATAAAAAGATTCAAGTTGTACAAAGTATGCTTTTTGACCACAATGAAATTGAATCAAACCAATAAAAGACAAAAATCAAGAAAAGCCCTAAAATGTGTAGGAATTAATAACATATTTTAAAAGAACTCATATTAAAAGGAGAAATATAAAGGGAAATAGTATTTAAACTGAGTAAAAATGAAAATACAACATATCAAAATTTGTGGGGTGCAGTTAAAGCCTTACTTTAAGGAGATATTTATATCAATAAACACCTATAATAGTAATAAGAAATCTCAAATCAATGACCTCAGTTTTCAACTTGTTGGAAACTAGAAGCGGAGCATTAAATTAAACCAAAATAAGTAGAGAAAGGAAAATAATTTAAAAATGAAGAGAAAGCAATGAAACAGAACATAGAAAAATAAAATAAAATGCAGTGAAAAGCTGGTTCTTTGAAAAGATCAATAAAACTGACCTCTAAACTAATCAAAAAATATAAGGAATGAAACATGTGAAAGCACTACAGATTATACAGAAAATAAAAGAGAAATACTATAGACAACTTTATGCTATTAAATTAAATGACTTATGTAAAACAGACCAATTTATTTAAAAAACACAGTTGCTCAAGGAGAAATAAATAAACTGAAGCCCTTTATTTATCCAATAAATTGACAAAACTTAAAACATTCTGACAAAGGAACTTCAAGAATCAGATGTCCGCACTAGTGAATTTTACCAGGTGTTTAAGGGAGAAATAGTACCAATTATACACAACCTCCTACAGAAAATTTCTTAAATCATGGAATATTTACTAGTTCTTTCTACACACTAACATTACCCTGATAACAAAATAAGACTAACATCACATTAAAAAAAAAAAAAACTCCAAATATCCCTCATCTACTTCTGATTAAAAAAAAAAAAAAAAAACTCCCAGCAAACTAAGAATAGAAAGAACTTCCTCAACCTGCATAACCTATATATTTTAAAAATAGAACAAACAGTACATTTAATAGTGAATGACTAAAAGCTTTCTTCCTAAGATCAGAAACAATACAAGGGTATCCACTCTCACCACTTAAATTCAACAATATACTGGAAATTCTGTCTAATGCAATCAGGCAAGAGAAATTAGTTAGACATTCAAATTGGAAAGAATGGTATAATACTCTTTCATTTGCAGTTGACACAACCATCATCTATTTGTAAAATCGTATAAAAACAGAAAAAAAAAATGCTGCTAGAACTAAGAAGTGATTTTTGCAAGACTGCAAGATATAAGATCAATATAAAATTCAATTGTATTTCTATAAAGTGAAATAAAACCCGATAAGAACTAAATTTAGTAAACAAACCTTTTCACAGTAGCATTCAAAATATAAAATGCTTAGGGATACATCTGATAAAAGGTGTGAAACACTGAAAATTAAAAACTTTACTGACAGAAATTAAAGATCTAAACAGATGGAGACATATACCATGTTCATGGGTCAGAAGACTCAACATTTTAAAAATAATAATTCTACCTAAATTGATCTTTAAATTGATGCAATCTCAATCAAAATGTCAATAGAGTTTTTAAATATAAACTGTCAAACTCATTATAAAATTCATATGGAAATGCAAAGGCCTACAATAGCCAATGGATAGAAAAATCAGCCATTGTGCTAGAAGAGGGATTTTAGAAATAGAACCACACGTAAATCTACAGCTCATTATAGACAAAAGTGGAAAGACAACTTGGTGAAGTTTTCCTAAGAAGGCTGTATGAATTTGAATTCTAATATACAGTTCATTTCATCATCATCCCTTGTATTTTTTTTCTTTTTCTCTTAATTGGCAGTGTTTTTCCTTACTAGGAAATCAATTATGCCTTCTTCTAAAATAACAGTGATAACCCAAAATTCCATAAGGAAAATAATGCTGCAACACCTCAGTTCACAGAAAGATAATCACCATTGTGCAAATTCCTGGTAAGTACGACTGGGGGAGACTTGAAGCAAAGCATAGCCAAAGCTCCCATCATTGTAACATACCCTACCTGATCTTTCTTTGAGTAAATTATACAGACTATTGT